CTCCTCCTGTCTCCCGCTGTAGAGACCGACGCCGACGACAGCCCCCTCCTCCTCCCGCCTCCAGCTTTCGAGACCGACGCCGACGCCGTCAATTCCGTCCGGGTCTGTTCAGATTTCAATTCCATTGGTTGGCCTCTTTCTTGCGTTATTATGCTAATACTTTAGTGCTGTGAATTGGGGTTGACTTGAAATTTTCTGGGTCAAGTGCAAAATCAGCATTTACAGTGTAGAGTGCATAAAGTTTGGATTTATAGCATTTACAGTTTATATTACTTGTGTATTCTTGTTCATCTTCTGAGAATCACATCATTGAAATTGACATTGCTAGGAGAATTAGGCATCTGTGTCATCTCTGTTTTGAACATTACATTTTTCGATGCAGTAAGTGGCTTGATAAACTACAGTTCCTGTACATGTATGAATTTCAGATAGAAGATTATGACTGAAATTGAGATACAAAGTTTTGGATGCACATCTTTGTGAGTTTATTTCTATTTTTCAGTGTTAACTGGTCATTCAATGGTTGAATTTGGCCTTTTGACTATGAGACATGATCAACTTCTTCCACCTGAAACCAAATAGTTGCATTCTCCAAAGGAAAAAAAAAAGTGTTCGCACTCACAGACAATTATGCAAAATGGAAATACATGCAAAAGGTCATCATATATGAAGAGAGATTGGTGATCATCAGGGGTTTTAGAAGTGACTCAAGCCCAACGAAAATTGGTGCAGAAGGACAGTACGTGTTTAAGGTAGGTTATGATCCAAGAGGCTTGGATGTTTAATTACTAACCGTGTATCTGAAACTCGCTACTTCAAGACCACCATTTTAGGCTATTTGACACATGAGTAAAGTAATACTATTCAAAGTTATCCAATTTTTTTAAATTTTGGACACAAATTCATGTAGTGTGCTTCTCTAAAGTAGATGCCTATCACAAAACTCCAATTAGAAGGATCTACATCAAAATCATTCTGAAAGATTACGAATTTATACATGTGTCTGATGAAGTCTCATCCCATTTGTTAATTTATTATGTTATTTTAGTGTGTCTGTGCACATTGAATCTCATCACCTGTAAGTTTATGTTATTTAAAAGTTGGATATTTGAAACATAGTAATTGGATATAAAAGAGGAACAAGTATAAGGCTATATTAATAGTAACGCTAGTAATTTCTCACCATCTGTTCAATTATTGGTCCTGTGTCAAGTTCTTCGGTTA